TTTCTAAATGTCCCAAGGCATTGTGTCTGGGTGGACTGGGGCAAGAGCTTTGGATTGCGAATATTAGCATATATTAGCTCTTTTTATGTCAAAAGTGCAAGAAAAATCTTGTTTGCCATTATAAATGATGTTTCAGGAGACTGGAAGATCCATCTTTTTAAATTGATGGATCAGTTGTACTGTAGGTTGTGGATGTGTAAATTTGAGCTTAAAAAAGAACAGAGGGTGTTCAGATCATTTAGTACAGACACGAGAGTAGGAGAATGTGAATGAGAGGCAGGGCTCTGCGTGTATGAAAGAGAGTGAAAGAACCGATGGGAGGTGCCTGCACGTGTCTGAGTGTCGAGAGGCAGGACGGAAGAAAAAAAGAGTGAGAATCTGTGTTAGCGTCAGGGAAAGATGAGAGCGTTTACACGTGGATGAGTGTTAAATGAATGTGTTAAAGGGGACGTTCACACACATGAAAATTCATTTGATCCAAAATGCTGAAACAAAACCCATACGATGTACTTTCTTCAGTGGAACACAAAGTACATTTTTGAAAAAATATCCTGGCTACTATTTTTTTCTATGTAATGAAAGTGAATGGAGAAAACAGCAATACAATGGAGAGGAAAATGAGTGAATAACTTAATTTTCAATACTTGCCACTTTCCATATTTAACTGAAATTTTCTAACATTTAAATTCAGTGAATATTATCATTTTAAATATTACTTTGACACACGAAGAAGAAACCTAATTCAAGATATATATACTACAGACCAAAAGTTTAAGTTTGGTAAGATTGGTTTGTTTTTTGTAAATGTTTTAACAAAGAGATATGCAATTACTGTTTCCTACTTCAGTATATTTTAATGTAATCTATTCCTGTGATCAAAGCTGAATTTTCAGCATCATTACTCCAGTCTTCAGTGTCACATGATCCTTCAGAAATCATTCTAATATGCTGATTTGCTGTGCAAGAAACATTTCTTATTAATACCAAAAAAACAGTTGTGCTGCTTAATATTTTTGTGCAAATCATGATCAATTTTTTCCAGGATTCTCTGACTTTCTGATAGAAAGTAAAAAAAAAAAAAACTTAATTTATTTGAAATAAGAATCTTTTGGAATAATGTAAATGTTTTTACTATTATTTTCGAACAATTTAATGCATCCTTGCCAAATAAAAGTTTTTTTTTTTTTTATCTTCCCAAACCTTTGAACGGTAATTATCTGAAAACAAAACTTCTCTGCAACTTTGCTTCTCAAGTAAATGCAATATTTTAACTGAAAAACAAGATGTAAAAAAAACCCCACTTTCATTATATGGAAAAGACCAGCCAGGATACTCTTCAGAAAGTTCACCATTTGTGTTCTGCATGAAAAATTAAGTAATTCGGGTTTGGAACAACACAAGGGTGAATAAATGACACAACTTTAATTTGTGGCTGAACTATCCCTTTAACTGTACTGAGTTAGAGAGACTTGCTGTCAAACAATGTTTAGTCTCTGTTTCCATCAGAAAGTGTGTAGAAACATTGCTTCCGTTCTCGCAGTATATAAATAGAGCGGCAACCAGCACAGCTCGACCCAATCTCACAGCACCTGGATCAGTGTGTGTGTGTGTGTGGTGTGTGTGTGTGTGTGTGTGTGTGTGTGTGTGTGACGATACACACACCGTTTAGAGGCCCTCTGTTAGTGAATGGACGGTTTCTCACATCCAGCCCTCACTCTCTGACTGTACTCTCAAGTACACCTCCAGAAGCATCCCACAATCCTCCTCTCATTCTCCTCTGTTATCTAATTGTTTGTCCTTTTTATACCCCCCACGCCATCTTATTCTCTCCCTCACTTTCTCTCCTCTGCCGTTGCCAGGACAACCGGCAAGTCATGGGGTGAATGCAATCATAAGATCTCTTCATCCGACCTACCTCGCCGTATCTCACCGTCTCTCTCTCACACACACACACTCGAATGCTCTCTCACCCACATGTTCTGACCACACTACATGCTACAACCCCATTTAAACCTTCTCATGTTAAAACACTCACACACACACATGCACTTGGGTTGGCTGGCTGGGTGAAGACAGCCTAGAGCAGAAAAGAAGAGGGTGCAATCGATGAGCATCGACATGCAATACTGCACCAAGACAGCCACTGCACAAACAAGGAGAGAGAATGAGACATGAGAAAAGTTCAGTGAGAAAGGGAGAGCATCCTCTTACCTGGGGTTCATACGGTCCATTTGCATGAATAATCTGCCTAGAAGTCTGTTGAAACATAACATAACATGTTCATTAAAATGCTGAAAATAAGTTATTTTGTTTCATTTTCCAGCAAAAATAATATTGTAATATTTTTAAATAACATGTAATAATATATGAACAATTTTATTAATTGTTTAATAAAATTTGCATTAATTTAAATCATACAATTTGAAATAAATGCCTAAATTAACTACTAATTAATAAACTAAATAAAATGTAATTATTACTATTTTATATTTCGATATTTATTCAGTAAAATTACTTTTATTGTTAAATAATATTTATATTAATAATAATTTTAAATAATAACATTTTCATTACATGACTAAATTAATTACTACTAATACAAAATTAATACTACAAATAATCGAATTTCATGATTTCAGTGAACTAAATAAAATTTAATTATGAATACTGTTTTAATAATTATTCAGTTAAATGTAATAATATTTAAATATTAATTGTTTCATATTTGTACTATTATTTTTATTAGTACAATTTTAATTAAATGACTAATTTAACTATGCACTAATTTACTACTAATAACTACTTATAAACTTTAACTACCAATAAACTATTACAAACTAAATTAAATTAATACTACTTTATACTTTAATTTATAAAAATGTAAACAATTATGTTAATTGTTAAATAATAGTCATATTAATTAAATTAATCCATTTCAAAATAATTGACTAAAACAACTACTAACAAACTTCATTTAAAACTAAATAAAATGAAATTAATAATACATTTATAATATCATTTTGCCAATAATTTGTCTCAATTCAAGTAATATTTTCCTATCTCATGCAATTTTGCCACTAAATCATTTTATCTTGTTTTCTACTTACTGGAAAACAAGACCAAAATTTACAGTACACAAGCCAGCTTCTATGCCAACATGATGCTGTGCATCATCATCATGCAAAGTCGAAGTCTCGATCGCTCACAGGTAAAACAGATGGGTGTGATGAATGGGAATCACACATTAAAAGGCGAGGTTGTGAACACTAGCTCTCTTTTATTGTCTCAGACACAGACCACATTGATTTCCTTAGTGAATTATTTAGCAGCCACAGCAAGCACTGTTGCCTGTTCTTACAGGTCCAGATGAGAAACATTGAACAATACTTGTGCAAAAATAATTGTAAAATTTTGGGGCTTTTGATTATTTATTCAGAAAATGTTTAGCCTAAAGCTTTAAAAAAAAAAATCCCTCAAACATATCAGTCACTGGAGGAAGTTTCAATAAACCGTTCTGCAACCACTTGACAGCATGTGATATTTACATTCGAACATGGTTATTTAAACTGCAATAAAGTTGGTTTTCAGATCACAAAGTAGAGTCTTGGCAAGTTTACGGAGTTAAAACAAGTGAGAATTACAGTGTCAGAAAGGCATGACTCTGTGGAGTCCCGAGAGCGTCTCTCAGAGTGAGGGTGTGTGACTGCTGTTTGCCTTCAGCCTGTATTCATCGTCAACCCTTGGATAATCGGAGTGTCAAGATCTTGGTAGGCGCTGAAGCATGTGCCTTATAAATTTAATGACCGGATTGTTCATTGGCTAAACCATATGCTCGTGTGCGTTTTGCTGTGGTCTGCTTTATAGAGCAAGGTTTTCCCAATTAAAACTGAACAACCAAATCACCATCCATATAATGTGGTAATACTATAATGATATAGGCCTATATTAAAATATACTTTTGCTATAGGATTACAGAAATTTCAGTGTAAAACTTCATGCAATGTGATATATTTTTGAATAAAAATAGATGGGCCTATTCCACAAGAAAAAAAAATTACTTTGTGGAACTAGATCAAATATTGATTAAATTATGTCAAGTTTGTGTTACGAACCAGAATGGAGCCAGAACTTGAATGAGAGAGAAACAATGCTTAAATATCTGGAAAAATAAAAATAAAAACCTTTCAGAGGAAGAAAAATTCTGTCATTAATTACTCACCCTCATGTCGTTCCAAACCTGTAAGGCCTTTGTTTATCTCCGGAAACACAAATTAGGATATTTTTGATGAAATCAGAGTTTTTTTTACCCTGCATAGACAGCAATGCAACTGACACATTCAAGGCCCAGAAAGGGTAAGGACATTGTTAAAATAGTCCATGTGACATCAGTTGTTCAACCTTAATTTTAACTTTATGAAGCTACTAGAATACTTTTTGAATGCACATCGAAGACTGACTCAGAAGAGAAGAAATTGTTGAATAAAGTTAAGAGTTATTTTTGTTTTCTTTGCTTCATAAAACTAAGGTTGAACCACTGATGACACATGGACTACTTTAACAATGTTCTTACTACCTTTCTGGGCCTTGAACGTGTTAGTTGCATTGCTGTCTATGCAGGGTCAGAAAGTTCTCGGATTTCATCAAAAATACCTTCATTTGTGGTCTGAAGATGAATGAAGGTCTTACAGGTTTGGAACGACATCAGGGTAATTAATGACTATCCCTTTAAGATTAAAAATGTGCATCGATTATTCATTTACAATAAGACCAGTAACTTAAAATAAATATCCCTGGTCTTATTGTGATAAATAAACAAAAACATATTTTTGCTTATTTATTCAGAAAATATTTAACCTAATTATTTAGAATTTTGTCTATATATACTGCGCATATAAATTGCACACTTCACCTTAAATGCAAGACCACAAGCCCTGTCCTTTTCTAACTCTGTCTTTCTCTCCACATTTCAACATCTTTGTCCCGGACCGCTACGTCCACAGGACAGCTCACGCCAGAGGGAAAGCCGATGCCGCGATGACGGCAGCACAGAAAGCCCAGGAAGAGTGCAGGCTGGCCCGGATCACCGCCAAAGAGTTCTCCCCCTCTTTCCAGCACCGAGGAAACAGTGAGTGCAACCAGCCGAGTCTGGAGACTAAAAATAACAGGGGCTTCAAACTGTTTGACAGTGTGACTAAGCTTTCCAGTTAACTGTGAATGCTAAATATTCCAATAAGTTAACTTTTGTCTTGCCGTCATTTGAAAAGGTGCTAATATTTTTCATTGATTCTCAAGAAGACGAGAATGATTTAGCGCTGATCATTTTATGTCAGCACTAGCAATCAGTCAGAGGTAGATTTATATAAGTGTGTGTGTAATAGCTCAGGAGAAGAATGGCAGAGTGTCGGTGAAAGCGTCTTTGTGTGCGAGTGTAGGTGCCGGATGGGTTCAGGACTGTAGGGGTCGATGCCCCTACTGTGCCATGCGGGGGGAATGAGTGATAGAAGAGGCAATAAGAAGATGAGGGGAGGTCAGCGCTGACCTTTCCGACAAGCCCACGCGAAGCTAGCCGACATACACAATGAAATTTATGCATGCACACACAATACCCACACACACATATTCACACCACCCACATACATAAACACACATACTGTATACGCAGTCACACTTTCGGTCGCTGTCACACCCCCACACATCTGCAAGAATTTATACACTCTCAGATCGCATCCCATCACAAAACACCCCTTTTACAGGAGAGCTATAAGCACTCACGCTGTGCTGGATCAGTGTATGCGACCTCCTGGAAGGGTTGATATTTCTAAATGATAAATGTGATGACCTTAGAAATGTTAGAACAAACTTGGTTGAGATGTGCTGACTTGCAACAGATTTGTAAATGATGTTTACAGTTGGAGTACAAGCCTTTATGAGGTTAAGTTGAAAGTTATGTACTTACGGGTGCATAGGGATGTGCGCCTGTAGCGCAAACAGACTTGAAAATCTTCGGGTCTCATTAGCTGAGCTGATTAGAGCAGCCATGGTGCTGACTCTGGAAAGCTTTGATAAGTTACACTGTATCAAGTTTACCAGGAACGGCCCATGTGCTTCAAGCAATCAAGGGTTGTACGGGGAAAACTCACCCAAAGATTTTAATTCTGTTATGATTAACTCACTCATATGTTGTTTTAAACCTGCTAGCCAAATATTTTTTCTGTGGAACACAGGAAGAGAATTCCTGAAGAATCTTCTTGCAGCTCTTTCCTATATATCTTCAGTTTAAATAGTGACCAAAACTCGAATAAAGACCATAACAAAACATTAGGGATGTACCAGTATAAAATTCTGCCAAATATGTTAAGCTACATTATGCAAACATAATTTGCATGTTTGAACCGGGGCACCACTTCTGGTTTAGTGTCAGTGACGTCAAACCTAGCATGGCACACCAACATAAACCCAAATGATTACAGACTAAAAATTTTCACTTCATAATGGCAATTATGACTATCCCATCGCTTCAGAAGACTTAGAACATAGCGCATGAGTCATATGGGAAAAAAGTTGCACTAAAAAGAGCAGTTCTGTAACTATGCATATACAAATAAGAATTTGATTCAGGTCTGCTCAAAAGAATTTCTGCATAATCTTAATTATGAAAATTTTTGTATTTATTCATTTTTTTCCTTAAAGGTCCCCTGAAATGCTTAGAAACACGCAGCATTACTCTATGTGTTTTCGCCATTTTAACTGAAACAGGAAGACAGGGCGGGACATATCAAGCAGCCCCGCCCCTTTTTAAAAATAGCCAATAGCATTCGTTTATATCACAGCTTGGGCTAGAGCCGTTTAGAGCCATTGAGCTCCGTAAAGCCACATTTGACAGGGTATGCCAGCCACAATCTCATCCATATTGCTATAAAATATAGCATTCTGTGTAGAATTCAAATAGCTCCGATACATTTTGTGGTCTGCACCGACTCGCGCATGTGATCCGCTCCGTGCTATCGTGTCTTTGGACCGGAGCAGAGTGTGTGTGCGGTGCGGTGGTTAGCGTGGCACACCGCGAAACCAGACTTCTTTTTTTTTTTTCCGTTCCCTGTCCCCTATATAGTGCACTACGTGCCATTCAATGTACAGAAAATACTAATTCTGTGGACTGCACACTGCCTTATAGATAACATTAAGACTAACATATTTATACTAACACCCAAAAAACTTTAATTTTGATTTCATGGGGACTTTAAGACAGATGGAAGCTTATGCAAGGGCATGTTCCCATCCCATACACCCCCTTTGCAGAAAGAAGTACAACATTTAAAGTGTGTGGCATGCCTACATGTTTTAAAATTAAAACTTGTCTCTCTGTCTCCGTGTAGGAGTGGAGTGCCAGCGACCCAAACAGCAGAACTCGAGTGAGAACGACGTGGAAGTTATCTCTAGTGGGACCGCGGATAGCACTGAGCTCTATATGAAGGGCTCCACGCCCCCAGACCTTACCCCAGACCTGAGCCCCACTCCAAGTCGGCCCTCCACGCCTCCCCGAAGCCCAACCACCAAATCTTCCCACCGCACCAAAAACGCCCGCTTTCTGCGACAAACTGCAGTGGACGAGGAGCGTGGAGGAACACAAGAGATACAGGTGCTGATGGAGGGGAGAGGTGGTGGTGGTTCGGGTGGAGGTGGAGAGTACCTGAGGGCTAACAGTTGGAGCGAGGACAAGCGTCCCTCCCGTGGGGGCAGTAGTAGAGGTGGTAGTCGGGGCAGCAGCCGCTCCACAACTCCTTCAGTGCAAGACGAGGTACGGGTTGGGGCGGCACGGGCCAACGGCCACAAGCACTCCTCCAATCATAAGCCTCGAGACCACAGTTCCTCGAATCACAAAACCCAACGGGAAAGGAGGCCAGACGGACCCTCATCTTCCTGGACATCTCAACGGGTACATGGAGACAGTTTGGCTCATTCCCGTCTCTTAGAGCAGGATGAGGAAAAACTGAGCAATTACGAAATGGAGATGAGGCCGTTGCAGCCAATGGACTCCCATATCTCCCAAAAGCCCTATGGGCATGGGGAGGAGTGGCACAGTCACTCAGAGTCCCGTGGACATACACTACAGCGACGGGGTAAAAATCGTGACCGGGAACGGGTTGTCCAGGAAGCCTCAGGGCCCAGGGACGCACAGGAGGGGCCGGCTCCGGACTCAGTGCGAAAGTTGGACAGTCTACGAGTGGGGGAAAAGCTAGAGGCTCGGCCCCTCCGTAGGGACCTCACACTCTCACCCCCACAGAAATCCCCACCTATTGCACTAGAGCACGACGATGAGAATCAGTCTCAGCTCAAAGTGAACTCGGTAAGTGAAGATGCACTACACAGAAAACTGGAATAGTTTCCCCAAAATTGAAAGTTTTGATATCATTTACTTAACCTCATGTCAGTCCAAACTCGTATGACTTACTTTCTTCAGTGCAGCACAAAAAGACAAATAAGAGACTCAATACATTTACAATAAAGCTTGCAAGCTTTAAAAAGGATGCCAAACACCATAAAAGTTTGGTAAAAGTGGCCTATACGAGCTCTGAGTAAGAAACAGATGACAAAAACTTGCAGGGGTGTTCAATTCTGCTCTTGAAGGGCTAATATCCTGAAGTGTTTAGTTCCAACCTGCCACACTTGCCTGGATGCTTCTAGTAATCCTGAAGGCCTTGATGAGCTGGTTTAGGTGTGTTTGATTAGGACTGAAGCTAAACTCTGCAGGATAGTGGCCCTCTAGGTGCAAGATTGGACATCCCTACAGGTTTTGGAAAAAAGTGAGGCGACTAAATGGTGACCAAATCTTAATTTCCAGGTGAACTATTGCTTGAACTTATGAAATAAATTCAAACGGGGCACCGTAACAGGTGGAAAATTTGTGACTATTCTAAGGGCCCGAGGAGGGAGAGGGGGCCCAAACAATATGCTCTTCAAGGGGCCCAGAAACCATAGCGGTGCCCCTGATTTTAAACATATTTCACAACCTTAACATTTCAGTAAACATTTTGTCCAATAAAACATTTGAATGTTGAATCATAAAATCCAATTACAGAATTTCGAAATAGATCAAAAACATTTCTAATCGACTGCAAACGCACCAGGTGTTTTAGTATGCATCGGTGCCTGAGAGCCCATGAGTAGGAAGAATAACCTCCACAAACACAGCGTAGGTGTTTGGAGTCCCAAGGGAATACAGGACCTGACAACAGCTCGAGACATACAACCTGGACACATATCCACACTTCAAACTGGCCCCTTCCACTGCCTAGCGGCCCTACGATCTCTTGCTGCACTAAGAACACCTTGGTAACAGCAAATTGGCAAAGTGGCTCCTTCCACAACGCAGCCCTGCATTGGCTGTCCCACACTCTGTTGCTAGGGAACAGCTTATGCCTTGCTCGGGTTGCGGCCAATCAAACGACAAGAGTGAGTTCTAGGAAGGAGGGGGTTTATGTTTGTAGCCGCAGAGAGGCAAGCAATGCAGCAGACTTGTGTAAGACAGGTTAACATGAAACAGAAACACATCCGCACAATAACTAGCCCCGTTTACGCTGTCAATGTTATTAACAACATTTATGCGTTCCGGAGATATCTAAACAACTGATTAGCTTAGCACATGAGGAGGAAGAACAGGCCCTACACAGTGCACAGCTGTCTGACTCTACAATAAAACAACTGTGGAGAGCAAAATGTGTTTGCTCAACAGGAAGATGCGCTAAATGTGACTCTATGAGATACGCTTGTCCTAATTCATTGTGCAAAATCAGCGCTCACGGCGTCTTCTTAACACTACTGTGTCCGGTTCGCTTGTCACAGCCTAATTTCATGCCTCACATGTGTCTTGCATGTGCAGCGTGCGTGTCCCTCTCCTCAATGGTTGTAAACATTGTCCAAGACACACTTACATGAGCCCATCAATTAAAAAGTGTGCTCGACAAACCCGGCTCTTTGCAAATACGCTGGTCCTTACGAGGGCTGGCACAATGCAGTACAGACTCTAATTTCCATTGAGATAATACCGTATCTCTGGTGAGCCGAGGGGAATGGAATAATCATGCGGCTTTCTTTAATCACGCACTGTAGAGTGCAAACATGTTTTGCAGTGAATCTAGGACTTTAGTATGTTGACTGCTTAATATACACTGTGGAGCAAATTCACATAACAGTTGCGCAATTTTAGCATGTCATACTTCAGCGCAAAGTCACTCAGCAGGTGCAAAACATGCTAGAATATCAGCATGGGTATTTTAGTCATTGTCATCCTGTATCAGCGCAAACATGCCTCCTTTCTATGCAAATTAGGTTAATAGAGAGCAGTGTATTCACACAAAGTGAGTACTATTTGCTTGCCGCACTTAATGTTAACTATTTGCAGTGCACCCTCAACCAACTAAGATCGAGAAGAGCACTATAACCAACTAATATCCAGACACACAGGGTAGTTGAGTACACTTTAGGCATTTTTTTAGGCTGCTAGTTCAGAAGAGTACTGTAAAGCAATAAGCCTCAAGAAGCCGTGGTTTACAGTGAATTTCTAACAGCTAAGCGACTTTGTTAGGCCCGACGTGAAGCAGAGTGCCTAAAACCTCCTTGGCTGTTATAAATTCACTGTAAGCCATGGCTTCACGGGGCTTGTTGCTTTGTGACCCACTATACACTATGTACTTATTCACTATGTACTCAACCATTTAGTGTATGTATTACCGTATTGGCCCGAATATAAGACAAGCCTGATTATAAGACGACCCCCCTTTTTCCAGATGTACCTTTTGGAAAAAGGCTTTTTAAAAACCAAATCTTGTTTTTTCTCAGTAAAACACATTTTGTCTTAAATTATTTTCAACTGCAACAGTTGAGTGCATGAAGTGTTCAACATTCCACACTTCGTTTTTTGGGAGTATTTGAAGTGCAGTAAATTGTAATTTTTGGGGTACAATTTAAAGTTTTTCATTTTGAAATTTTCAGTGTGAACACACTACTCACACTATTTATACTATAAAACGTTATAGAATAGTGCATAAATATGTGATCTGGGACACACCTTAAATGACAAACTTGCCAAATGTTAGCTAACTTCAAATGCTAAGCAAGTACACTAAGTGATTAGCTTGCCAAATGCTTACCTAGTACACCACGTGATTCGTTTGAAAAAATTACAAAAACATAAAAAATGAGAAATTATCTGTTTCTTTGGGCATTAATGATCATATCAAACTGGTGGTGGTTGAGGAGATTCCCCCCTTCTATGTAAAGTGCTTTGAGTGCCCAGAAAAGCGCTATATAATTGTAAGGAATTATTATTATTAATTATAATAATGTAGTTTAGTCGACATACATCATACAGCAATTTTGTAAGATATCTAATCAGGCACTAAAATAAGTACCCTTTAAAAGGTTATTTTAGCCAATGAAATCGCTCGGGGTCATTCTTGTGGAATTACACCAGGCAGATTGTGTTCAAAACTGATTTTTGGGCATGTCAGCACTCTTACCTGATTTGCATAATTTATTTTAGTGAATCCAGTTCTAAAACAACATAGCATGCAAATAAGCGCTATTCGGTTTTTTTGTGAAATGCACACTGTATAAACAAATACTGACCTTTCTCCTTTTTCTTTCTCATTCAACAGGGCTCCAACTCTATTCTGGTAGTCATGGTGATTTTGCTCAACATTGGAGTCGCCATTTTGTTTGTCCATTTTTTTATTTAAACTCTGCATTGCCTATCAATTCCTCTTGTACAGCTACACTATTATCAAATCAATACTAGTGTCATCACAACTGATCTGGTTCCGGCCCGTTTTTTAAACAAACGACCAGTGTACTTCTATTGAAGTTACAGCATGGACTGAGGAAGGCAACGACACAAAACTGGGCTCAGCAGTTCTGTCTGCTTTTCTGTCTCCAAAGAGCTCGTTTCGATTTCTTAATTTCTTTTTCTTTCTTTTTTTTATCTGAAATGGTTACAAGCATCCTTTTGAACTTCTAGTTTTATCCTATGTATTCATTCGCTCATTAATGATGTTATAAATTGATATACTTGTTTCTCTTTTTTTATTTCATATTCCTTACTTGCCTTTTTCTTGACAATGCTGGTGGCTTTTTTCGGTTTTCGTTTGGGTTTGGTTTGTATTTGGGTGTTGGACTTATTTGAATTGTGGCTTTGGTGAGGGAGGGTGTGCAAGGTGGCGTAAGGGTGAAGGGCGACCGCCATCAACATCTTTTCGGGTGACGGCAGCGTTACACAGCTATGATGTCAACAGGTTCAAAGTGATGGGAAACGGCCCCTGTCTAACCCCACCCGCCTCCCTCGCGCACCTCTCCTAAGCATTGCTTATGTTTCTCCATGTCCTCGTTTTTGTCACTCATTGGAATAACACGCCAAGTGCTCCTCTCATTTCCTGTACACCTCCAGTTTCCTTCTTTGTGGTACGTCAACTACCAGCAGACTCCAGAATGTCATGGTGGGCCTGAAATGAGAATTAAAGACACTTCTTAATTATTCATTACAATGGACCTAAAACGAGTCTACAAAGCTTTTTGATGTCTAAACACCTTCGAATTTGCCTAAAAATGTTGCATATGTCGAAAAGAAGTCGGCTAAACAAGCACAACCAAAGTGGGTTAGTAAAAGTTCAAGTCTGGTAATCACAAAGACACAGCGCCACCAACGTTTCAGCATCTGCAACAATTGTACTCTGGTGAATCTGACCTATATGCATTTGGAAAAATTCCCAGATCCAAAAGATATACGATCTGAAAGGGCTTCATCATTAATCTTGCTCCAAATGAAACTTGGAAAAAAAAATTCAGCAGAATAAATCATAACACCGTTCGACTCATTTATCTTTTTATAAACAGGTCCTGGCTGCATGTAAGATTATACACTGTACATTCAACACGACGTAGCATGGGTTTGATCTTTGGAAGCACTTTTCTAAGTTTGAGCTTTTCTGCAGCATTATGTTATTTAAACTTTGTTTGAATGTTGTATGAGGGCTAGCAAGCACATGACATTCTGTGAGGTCATCCTCATTACAGCGCCCCCTTACTCTCTTTGATGAAATCACAAGAACGTGCGAGCACCTGCCGACCTCACCATGCACACCTGAAAGCCACATGCTGCGCGAGATGCTGGCGTTCCCGACCAGACATTCAAGAGACTGTTAAAGTTTTTTTCCCAACTGCTGCTTTCAAAAAACAAATATTTATTGATAAAAGGAAAAAAAAAAACTTTTTTAGCTATTTGCAAGACGTCTGAAAAATGCCAACTGCCTTGTTTTTGTAAAAGTAAAAGAAAAAAAAAACAAAGTTGCATGCTAACGTATGTTTTCGTTTTGTATAGATAACCTTATCGGGAAAAAACGTACGGAAAAGTGTGCTAGTAAGTTTTGGATGCGGCGTAAAAACTGCTAAATTTTATTTGGACTTGTTCAACACATTCTAATGCGAATATATAAGATATTGTACGAATTGGTGATTTACTTGAACGAAAACGTACCATTTGTAGGTAAAATTTCACCATGAGAACGCACCTCAAAGGAGCGTAACAATCCTATGAAGGAGATCGTACCAATTCGCCACTAATTCGCCAACATACTTACAAACTGTTATATGAGTGTGTTGAAAACTGTTACTTTGATACATAGTGAAACAGGTCTGATCGGGTTTGCCAATGATGAACCCGTGGTCCGAGTGCTGGTCTTGGCATCCAGCGGCCTTTCCGCCCCAAAATCTGAGACGAAACGAAAACAAGTGAAACAAACAATCAAAGAGAGGTGTTTTGTTTATTTTTTTATAGCCAGCTAACAGAACGCAAAGATTGAGATGTTTTTATAGCATGTGTGTATGGGCTTGTACTTTCCCCCTTGAGTCTGTCCTCCTGGCAATGATTCATTCACAGTTTGTGTACTCTCTCTATCCCTCTTTCTCGCCCACCTCCCTTCCTTCCACATATTTCTCCCGTTTCTCTATCCAGCCGAAAAAAGGAAAACATAAGACCAACAAAATGAAATGTACAAATGACAACTATGCTGATGTAAAGGAACGCAAGCTGGGGGCCCAAATGTATGGAGTCATACATTTGCTCAACTCGAGTCCCTGGGTTGGTCCAAGAAGTTTGCAAACTCGCTGACTGGCTCACTTTGATACCACAACGGCTGTATGTGATGGGGATGGTGGGATTCCAAAGGGTCTTTGAAGCAGGAAGTTGCTGCAGTTGACCCACACCGCCGGCTCTTGTACCGTTTGACCTGGATGTATCTGTCACCTTATGCGCCTATAGCATGCCCAAGCATGCCCAGTTCTTTTATCTCTCTCTTTCTCTTCCTCTATCATTCAGTTCTTTACTTTTCCTGGGGGTCTGTTTCTTTTTGAGTTATATGGAGAAAATAATGAAAGTGTTTGAAAGTAAGCTCTTGTGTTGTGGTTATTGAGTCTGTTTTTGTTTTTTGGCCTTTCTTTCTCTCCATGTTCCAAAAGTAACAAGTTGTCACATTTCGATGCATTTACAGAAGATGAAAATCATATTGTGAACCCCGACCCACACCCACCAAAAAAAATAAAATAAATAAAATAAAATCGCAAAATAAGGGGAAGTCATGTTTTACCCCAAAATAACGAATTAATAAATAAATATAAAATAATAAATAGATTATTTTTTTGTATATTTGTAAAAAGACAAGAAAACCTATTTTATGATAATATTAATCCACCCTCCTCACACTTGCACACTCATTATTGTAATATATTTTTAATACTATGATGTGAAACTAAATTAAACTACTGTTAGTAATACTTTAGAGGGTAGTTCTATTATTTATTCATTTAATTTTTTTTCCTGAAATATATAAAATTACTACGGTAACAAACCAACATAAAAAATAATTACAAAAAAAGTAAAAGTAAAACATTCAGATGCATTATAGAAATAAGAATTTGGTGGTGGTGGGGGAGGGGTGTGCTTAGAAACAATGCAAAAAATAATAATAATAATTGTTCTAAAATAGCCACAAAATATCATTTCTTTTTTTTCTGATATTTTAATTGTAAACCATTTCTAACATTTGATTCTGTTTGTACAACCTTTATTTTGATTTTAATAGAAAAAAAGTCATTGTATTACAGTATTTTTACAGTAATAAAGTAAAACAAATACTGTAATACAGTACAGTATTTATAATGTACTATAATACTATAATAGATGCATTATAGTAATGACAATTTTACATGAAAATAAAAGTAATAGTCCTTTATTTTCTTTCAAAATATAGGCTAATTCTTATTTTTTTCCTTTTGATTTTGGGGTAAAATACGGCCGGTTTTCCACTCCTTGTATTTAATTAAGTTTGAGTGAAAGTGATAGAAGATTCTCTGTGCAGAAGATTGCAAATGAAAACAGACAAGCAGGTGATGCATGAGATTTCCCCAGTGAGAGTGTGCCATCACTAGAGCAACCTTCATATAGACTTGTTCTCAATCATGCCAGAGGTGTGGCCAAAAAATATGGGTGTGGCCTCTCTCACTGCACACATCACACATATAAGGATTATCTTATTTTGAAGAAAAAAAACATCAGTCAGGACGTCCTCCACAAACATGTCAAAAATGTAAATGAATCTTCTTGATGGATTGAGAGTAAAAAAAAATTTGAAATGCATTGAAAATATGAAATACAGTCTGCAAGGGAACAAGGCCAATTCATTTCATCTTCAAAGTCTCTCTCATGTCCTTGTTTTGTCTCTTTCTCTCACTTTCATCCTTGTCCTCTCCTGTAGAAACTAACCCCTCATGTCATCTCTCCTCTTCTCACATCACTGAAGCATGAGGTGGAATGCTTACAAATAAGCGTAAAAGTCCACCCCATAACTGACTCGAGAAGATTTGCACAGGATTCACAGAGACACCTGTGCAAAACCTCTCAATCTTAAAAGAATAATTCGCCTGAAATGAAGATCTGTCATTATTTACTCACCTTCATGTCACTCAGTCCAAATGGGAACTTGGTCTGTCAAACGCCAAAAATACTCCATAACAGTATCGTGAAAGTGGTCCACACATTAATTCGCTATAGTACAAGAACCAAACGAAAATGTATGTTGCGCTTGCATCTTAAGACTTCTGATGTGTCTCGGCAAAAACACGCTACGTTACTTAAGTTAAAGGTGACATATCATGAAAATCGGACTTTTCCAGGTTTTAAGTGCTATAATCAGGTCCCCGGTGCATCTACCAACCAAGGAAACTTGAAAAAGATTAACCCAGTAATTTTGTTTTGAGAAGCCTTTTTCTGCAAGCGTCTGAAAAAACGAGCGTGTCTGATTTCGCTCCC